TCCCGACACAAAGAAATCTAATGGACAACCATCAAGCTGGAACCAGGCCAATCTTCTTAAATCTTACATAACATCATCCCACATATTTGCATGTTCAGCCTTTAAAAATCCCAAGAAGTTCGCAGCATTTAACCTTGCAGGCAAAAGGTAGGGTCCAAATAGTCGATTACGGTAGATACCAATCCACACGTTCACACTAAATTCATGCTGAAAATTTCTTTCCCTAACTGCATGCGGATTTTCATGCGACCAAATATGTTGATTATTACCTTTTACCTGCAAGGTTAAATGCTGCGACCTTCTTGGAATTTTTAAAGGCTGAACATGCAAATATGTGGGATGATGTTATGTAAGATTTAAGAAGATTGGCCTGGTTCCAGCTTGATGGTTGTCCAGCTCATTATTCGAGATTAGTTAGACACTGGCTGGACGAAAATTATCCAGAAAGATGGATCGGCCGTGGAGGACCAGTCGCCTGGCCTCCACGATCCCCTGACCTAAATGCATTAGATTTCTTTGTGTGGGGATTTCTAAAGGAAAAAGTGTACCAGACTCCCGTAACCACAAGAGATATGCTAATAGACAGAATCAGGAATGCATGTGATGAAATAAGGCCTTATTTGAATAATGCTATACCACGTTCGATCATTCGTAGATGTGAATTGTGTATTGAAAAATTGGGTTTACATTTCGAGCAACTACTTTAGATTTTGTATGTTTGTCCAAACTATCCAATAGCATCCAATATTCATTTAATTTGTTAAAAATAATATTGGAAAATTAAACAAATTAATATTCTGTTTTTTTGTGTTATTTGGAGTTAGGAATTATTGCTGTGTTTAAAAACACAATCTAAACGATCATCTTAATTACTTGTAATGCCCAAATCGAAAATGTAAAAAAAAATATTATTTCACCATAAATAATTAAAAATGCATCGAACCTTAAAAATCGAAATATCTCAAAAACGGCTAACTATAACAAAAATTCACAAGAGAGCTTTTTTATGTTGAAAAGTGCGAAGAATCAGCTTTTTTATTCAAAAAGCAAAAAATTGCACTAAGAAAAAATGTTCGGTCATTTTAATACACTACAGGTACAGTAGAGAGCGCCCTCTAGCGGCTACAGTAAAACTATGCCCATGGTTCATTTTATCGTACCAAAAAAAACCCTTGTGTACCAGTTTTCACTGTTATACATCAAATATTGTTCGTAATATTTAAAAAAAACTATTTTAGAAAGTAAATTTAAACACCCTGTATTTCGGAAGCCACGCATTTTTTGACTCATGTTTATATAGACTTTATGCATTAATTTTAAAAGTTCTATCGAATCTTAAAGTTATGCAACAATAAACAGAAACACCCTGTATAGAAGAAAATGGTGCATGCAAATAATGAGATCTATCAATAGCTGAAATTGATGTGCATATTTTAGGCAATGTTTGTGAGCATGATCATAACGGTAAAGATGCTGAACAATTTTTTTCTTTTTCAGGAAGAGGAATCGAATGGCACTTGATCCGTAATAGTAGTTAGGCGAAAGAAAACCAAAGAGATAGTAAAAGTAATCTAGACGTACGTTGATAAACAATAATTCCAAAAGCGTGTAATATAATAATTATAGTATATCCAGGAAATAAGCGCATTTAGATCTACAGAAATTAGTGGGTTATTGATAGATTTTGTATAATCTTACACCTAAGTATTAATTTTGTTAATAACACAATCCTTAAAAATAAAAAGTGGTGTATGCTGGGGAACGCACTATATTTTTCACATCTACTTTTTCTCGCTGAAGTCATAATTGATGCTCACTGGACTAATATGAAAATAATTTAGCCATTAAGATGGCAGATTTTGTAATTCTGATGTCTAAATTACTAGTGCAACACGCAACTTACTGTTGTGGAGCTGTGTGATATTTGAAAGTTGTCTTATCTTATAGACGCAAAGTTATCTCAAGGATGAGCTTGACTTGATTGGAAAACCCAATATAATTGAAAAACAAGACAGTACATGTGTATATCTTTTTCAAAAATATAGATTCACATCTGATAGCTTTCACTTACAGTGGTTATTGTTCTTTCATTCCAACTTTTATGGGCTATGGATCAATTTTCGTGCACAAAAAATATTGTTGATATTGGGTACTTTTGACAGTACTGTAGCGCTTTCCTTGAATCTACGTATCTCCAAAATAATTTGGGACCCTACCAATTTCTGCAAATCTAGATAATGTACAAGCTTCTATTTCCTAGAATGTACACTGACCCTTTACCTACTAATATTACTACGACTATGTACTACCTACTGCATGCAACTGTTATATCTCCGAACCAGTAACGAGTCGTCTGTATCCGAATGAGCAGCTGAAACTGAAAATGTGTTTTCTCGAATCTCAATCACTTTTAAATATACGCTGATAGAGGATATGTATGTAAGCAGCCTATTTCCATTAAGAGTGTTCGCTATGAAAATGAATAAACACCGATTTTATACGTGTGTACAGGGTTTTACCTTGCAACATGTTTAACAGGTCAGATACCAAAGTAATACCAAATCTACGATTTTTACGCCTCTAATATTTTGATTACCAAACAATTCCGAATTAATTTACGAAAAAATGGTACCATCCTCAAATCAACATATTCTTTAGGTATGCCGCAGCCCTTTTACGGGAATTGGCTATGACCAAAATTGACAAAAAAACGATTTTTAGATTTTCACTGAATATTTGTTGGAAAACTTTCCATGATTTGAAAAAGACTAACTCTTTGGCGGAACAGGTCTCTCAGAAATCACCGCATACCTTTTTGAACAAACTATCTTTTGGAACCGGCGGCGAACGGCAAGGTCAGATTCATTCGGATTACTCCAGGGCTGTTTTTTGTAATTTTTTTGTATTTCCTTTTCATCGCGTGAAATAAAACACATCACTGCCTTATTGTTTCCACCTTATTGCACTGTGGAAGAAATCTTGGATCTCCCTGGAATCGCATTTTTTCACTGAATTTAGATCTCTATGTATTCCGTCATATTTGGGCAGGTGTGCCTCATTTTTCTGTTCAAACTAAATTATCAAGTAGTGAGCCTCTCATCCGCTACACTTCTTGGGTAGTTCTATTTACTACATCCGAGTATCGCCATCATCAAAACAACATGATGAAGTTATTTTATTTGATTTATTTAAGAAATCGGAATTATTTTCTTGAATCTAGACCGGCGTTTATTTGTATAGAGAATCGTGATGTTCACAGCTCTTCATTCAGCCTGGCGCATATACTTTTTCTCCTGTTCTATCTTTTTCGTCTCTCTATCTACTATGTACAGTCGAAAACAAGTATGAAAATAATATATGCAAGCTACAAGAAATCGAAATGCTTGGATTCTGTGGCCCCAATCTGGACTACTATTTATGTTGATATGATATTTCACCTCTTCATGTAGCCCTGCACATATACTTTCTTCCTGTTCAGTCCTATAAGCGTGTCAGCGCTGAGCCTCTCACCAAACGTCAGTTCTAGGTGTCTTTTTTCGTCTGTCTATATACTATGTACAGTCGGTAGATGGTCTTTATTGTCTTATTTATGGAAACAATACTATTCGTATACGGAAATCACAAACAGCGATGCAATCTACCTATTTGATCTCGCACTGAGGATACCGTGCTTGGAAGGAATATTGCTACTAAATAAATAACTGGAAACAAATTACTGAAATATTCATAATTTTACCCACATCGCAAATTTGATTTTACTAAATGGAATGCTCAGCTTTTATTAAACATATAACATACTTGGTTATTAATTGTTGAATTATTGGGTGTTTAATATAAAAAAACGTCAAAGATTCACAGATTGCATCTCTGCTATATTGAGACGGTTGGAGTAATGAATTTTGTTGCGAATTGTTTTTATTTCACTCAATTTTAGCCTAATTCACCCACTTTTCGAATCTTGATCAATACAGGTCAAAAACGCAAAGTATAATTTTTTGCAAAAAAAAAATGGTTGGAGTACTCTATATATTTTTAAAGGTCCCCCACTTTCTTGAGCTTTTTTGATATAAGGTCGTTACCATTTTGTTCTGGTTTCTGCATTATAGCTATTTGTCTAAAACATGGATATTTCTCTATTCAAAGTCACATCATCCGTGGAAAAAACTACTACAGAATTATTGACAATCCGTCTATAAAATCAGTTTTTTTATCGAGAAACAAAGTAATTCAATGCTTTTTTGTTGTAGTTCATCAATACATAGTGATACTATTACCTAAAATTAAAAAAAACTCATTTCATATTATAATACCAACAGTAATAATGAATTACAACACAAAGGCATTGAGTTACTTTATTTCCTGATAAAAGCCTGATTTTATAGGCAGATTGACAATAATCCATTACTTCTTTTTTCCATGGATGTGACTTGTTTGAATTGAGTAACATCAAAAATTTTGAAGCAAATAGCTATAAGAAACCGTTTGAACCAACTGGGAACAACCTTATATTTAATTTATTTGCGAAAAGTACATTTTGCGTTTTTAACCCCTCTGAAGAAAAAATATAAAAATTTATAGAATAGGCTGAAATGAAATTTTGGCATAAAATTCCCGGCTCCATCTGTCAACATATCAGATATGCAGATTGTCAAACTTTGATGCTGTTTTATATAAAATTTCCATTAATTTACAGACTAATAGCCGAAACCCATAAGAAAGTCATATCAATCGTGTTCTCTTAAAGGAATATCTGAATATGTAACAAAAAAGTAGGACATTTCATTTAAGAAAAACCAACTTTTTGTCAAAATTTTAGAAATATGCCAGCAACCATATCTAATAATCCAGTTTTCTTTGAAAACTTTTTGTTTAGGAACAATTCTCCGTCCTCGCACAGTTGGGACACCCTGTATAGAAATTTAACCTACAAGACAGAGATTAGAGCCCGAAAGCCTTCGAACCTATATTTCAACATGTTATTTGCAAAGAAGATGTCATACCTGGCCATATGCCAAACGCTGCGTCCAGAGCTATCACCTCTTCATTCAAGCCGACGTTTTTCTTGGCAAACGTCCGTCGCCTTCACTCATCGGAAACCAGTCGGTAAATATAAATATCCGATATTAATATCCGATCACATCACGTCGCGGACCGATTTAGATTTCAATTAACTTCAGAAGTGCATAACACTTAATTTCGATACTTGCCGAAGAAATATTTATTACCGTTTTATGGTAATTGAGTGCGTTTTCAATCAAGACCGCGGAGCGGAATATAAAAACGAGGAATATTGATTTTATCTGGAATAGTGTGTTGCTTTACTGTCTAATGATTACATGGTGATACTTCTGAAAATCGATCAAACTTGCATTTGTTTGCAATCAGTGCGATTCGAAAAATTTAACAAATGGGTCATTCTTATGTTCAGCGAAAAATTGTTTTAAGCAAGTAAAATTGTAATTTCACAAATGGGGCCTTTCATTTTTTTTATACTTGAATCACCACGAAGGCCTAAAGCCTAAACTCGGATGGGTACAGTGGGGCGGGGGACATAATAACTCAATACGCTCGTGTATCTACTCATAATGTATTCACAGAGTGTTACTTGAATGGGCATAGTAAAATGGTAGGTAATATGGACCGGTATCTGAAAATAAAGTGGTCTTGATTCGTTATTTACAGATATACAGGGTGATTTATCTAAACACGTCAAATGTTAAATTTCCCTTATGTCAAGCACGATTGAACCGATTTTGTTGGAATTTTGCACGATTCCATATTCACTTTTTTCGGTAATATTCATTTGATTTTTTTGTACATAGTCAAACATTTCAGTACTGAGCAGAAGCATTGATTTCGACAAGAAAACCAAAACAAATTTGGTGAGCTTAGATAAATCACTATGTATATCCGTAAATTCCCATTGGACCTGATATATGGAAATATCTCGGTTCATACTACCTACCACTTCACTATATCCATCTAAGTATGGAACACCCCGTATGCAATCCAATATTGCACTATAAAGGAGGTGAATACCTCGGCTGAGTACATATCCCTGTACGCATCGTACGTTTATGTTTACGTTGGAATATATACGACAGACATATATATGCAAACAACATATTCATAAAACACGTGATTGGACGAATAAATGAGGAATTAAGTAAATTGGTCCGAGTTTAGCAACGAACGTCGCTGAATTACCATAAAATTCATGCCGAATGCACCGGAATGCAAAACGTGTATTTTGACCTTTACTGATGTAATCGCGCCCGCAAAGCGATCGAGGGTATTTATGCGGTTGGCGTCTATCGTATTTTTGACGGTCAGTATGCCTAAAATCAATCAAATAATTTTTATTACGCTTGTCCGCATGAGGTAAAGTTGGGAAAATGTTACCATTTGGCATATCAAATAACTCGCTATTCAAGCATCATAATCCGAACTAAGATTATTTTACATGTTTCTATAATTTATCGTACCGGTTTGCTAAGATGTAACACGTAGTTTTTTAATTATACCTCATCAAAAAGCTTTAGATTTTTATTGTTAGTGGAACAAATGTGTAAAAAAATATCTTGATGAATAAAACCTTTTATTTAACCAATTTACATACAGAGATAATGGATTAGAAGATAGGTGAGATAAATTACCACCCTCACAAATTAACTTAAGATCCATACAAATCGAAAAGTAAGCATAAGAATCGCTGATTTGGAGTGCATTAGTAAAATAAAAATCACAAATATTGTGCAGTCGACTAGGAAATGAAGCAAAGCTTTCATATGCATCCAATCTGTGCATTGGTGGCACCTGAGTTTAGGGGAGACTGGGGATGATTGTGACATTTTTATTTGATAAAGTAACTAGTCGGAATAAAGGCCTAAAATAAATTTTACGAAAAAGACTAATAGAAATGACATTATTGGAAGAAATCTAAGAAAGAGATGTTTAACTTTTAACCCGATCCAATGTGTTAGAGTTACGCTACATGAAGTAAAAAGTTACAATAAAATCAAACTTAATAAACTGCTTTTTATTAGGAATAAGTATCATCATCACTTTCTTTTCTTGATGTGTAAAAGACATTTAATTATGTCTTAGGTCAGTCTCTGGCCTCATCAAAACAAAATAATAGTATCCTTCTAACCTAAAACAAAATCACAACTATTCTAACAAAGTCGTCTCATATTCTTAGTCTTACACCTACAACCAATAATTTCCGACGTATACTAATAACATTATAAACCTTTTATTGAATAAACACTTGGTATGAATTAACAATACGTAAATAAAGCCTCATTATCAAAAATAAACTATGTTCTTTAGAAAAAAAAGTCAGATAAGGAAAACAAAGCACTTCAGTCACTTTCACAATTCAAACAAACATATTGAGCAATATTTCCCCTAACGCATTTCACATGTGACCAAAGTACACACTGTTCCCATTCTTCTCCAGCTTTCTTCGGCTCAAAAGAGTCACAACATATCAGACAAAAATATCCATCACCTCCACTTTCTTCGTCTTCGTCAGTGTCATATAATAACTTCCTCTTTACAGAAATCTTTCTTGTTTCTTTGTTTGTTTTACTTTTCTAACTGGTATTTTCTTGTTCATTATTCTTTCTTGTGCTTGACTTTGTCTTTCTTCCCTAGCTTTTTCTTTCGGTGTGTCAGTTAATACCGCTGATTTGCGAGTTGCGCTACAGCTTTTGAATAAGACCGAACAATCTCAGGAGAAAAAGTATATTCATGTTTGCTGCAACCAGCAGCTGGGTTAGTGTAAATGGAGTTTCCGGATCTAACTGAGGCACTCTCTATAAAAAAAGGGAAGAAGGCGGAGCTTGAGTTTCAGCCATCGCGTTCTATGTTCTAGCAGGGATATTTTGGATGTTTGAGCTGGCCGTTTCGTCTATTGGTCTTCCCGGACTGCTTCTTAGCCAGATATCTTGTTGGCTGGCACAGTAATTTTTGAATGGTTCATAGACCCCTACATCCATGGGCTGGAGTTTATGAGAACAGTGTGACAAGAAAGACAGCAGCACCACATTGTTTTCTTTGGCTATTTCGATGACTTCATTATCCAAGAGCGAAGAATGATTGTCCAAGAGTAAGAGCACTGGATCGAATGGAGACGGTTCCACATGATCAATGAAATGTCTCTGAATTCTAGCCCAGTCATCCATCCACTTGAGTTCCCTGCTCCAATGCAGTCTGGAAGTCCGTAGCGAATAAAATAATCCATGTATTTAATTCGTGAGAAGATAAACATACATGGCATCGAGCTTACTGCTGCATTTGCTGCTACGCAGAGAGTGACAAGCTGATGTTATTTAACCAATCTCTTTAGATCCTTTTGGGGCCAAAACTTTTCTAGGTTTCTGTACCGTTGTGACCCCTGTTTCATCGACATTCCATATGCGTGAAGAAGTAAATTTATATATATAGCGTGCACTGCAGTTGATTTAGAAAAAAATTTCAACATTTCTTGATCATATAGATAATGAGAGATTGCGTTTTAGAAACGCTGCCAGCCAACCAACTTCAGCTTCTGTATTAGAAAGCCAAGGTTTCGGCATCGCTATACCGAACTTAACTGCACAATCAAATGCTACTTTTCTGACATCTCATCATCAATAGTAAATTTGATAGCATTTAATTAAGTAAGTCACCAAAGTGTCTTCTTGTTCTGGATTAAACACTTGTCTATTGTTCACGTACCCAACGGTGACAGATTTCATAGGTATACCTTGTTCTTTTGCTTGTTTTCATTCCTTTAAAAATCTTGTTAGCGACATATGGAATAATACAAAGTCTTTGCCGCAGCCAGTTTTCCTTGTTAACATCCTTATCCTACAACAAAAACAACAAAGCTTAAATTATATCTGTCAGCAAAAAGCACTAAGGGACAGGTACTGACAAATCACAACCTGCCCCGAGCAATTCTGACTTGTAGCCCCAACCCCAAAAGTGACTGTTAAAAATGTTGTACAAAAAAAGCAATTAAATATAACTGTAAAAACATAGATTCGAAAAGGAATTAATTAGGGCGTAACTAACACAACAAACACATTTCCGTTTGTATAGAAATCAGATTCTAGACCAATATTACCAAAAATCGAAATGTTACTAACCTACAAATTTTCTGGTGCAAGCTTCGAAATAAGTAATTATATCCTCAAATCAACTTATTCTTGAGTAGATTGTAGAACACTTGTGAATAGTGCTCACCCCAAATTTTTATAAGAGCTTTTTGAGACTGTCGATTGAAAATATGGGAATAAATTAGCCCCAACCCCAAAAGTGACTGTTAAAAATGTTGTACAAAAAAAGCAATTAAATATAACTGTAAAAACATAGATTCGAAAAGGAATTAATTAGGGCGTAACTAACACAACAAACACATTTCCGTTTGTATAGAAATCAGATTCTAGACCAATATTACCAAAAATCGAAAATGTTACTAACCTACAAATTTTCTGGTGCAAGCTTCGAAATAAGTAATTATATCCTCAAATCAACTTATTCTTGAGTAGATTGTAGAACACTTGTGAATAGTGCTCACACCAAATTTTTATAAGAGCTTTTTGAGACTGTCGATTGAAAATATGGGAATAAATTAAACAACAAAACTGTTATTACTACATACGAGTACATACATATGCTACCTATTTTTAGCAAAAACTATGTAGATGGATCATACGACGAAATTATATTCTTGAGGGTAAATGAAATAGTCGCTCCACTAGGGATGCAAGTGAATTTTAATAAAAGTGTGAACCATCAAAGGTGTGAAAAATCGTTTTTCGTGTATGTGAAAACGAAAATCAGCAATAAATAAGATTGAAAATGATATACTGATTTTTTCTGCACTGTAGAACTTTGTTTTGAGATGATTTAATTTTGTGAAAGTAAAATGAGTTTTAGCAGAGGCGTAAATCTATTCAAGCCGGTACGTGAAAATTGTTTTCAGAATTTTAAAACTTACGCAATTTTTTAAGGATTTTATTTCCAAGCAGCGAACTGATATACAGTTACGTCACTTCGTGAGGTGAGAGACTATAAAAAATATGTGAAATTACAGGGTGACTGGATTTTAGATTTGTTTTTTTCATTTATGCCTGTACGTGAGGAGACCGACGATATATTTTAAAACCTATGAAGCATTGGTGTAAGTAGTATACAGAAGTGTTGTGTTAGATGCTCATATCGCCACTCGTGTAAGTTGTATAGATTCAATTCTCCGACTTCTTGTTGTGCGGCGTCCTCGTAAGGAAGGAAATTATTCCGTCACCACGTGCTTGAGTTGGGAATCGTCCCTCTGAGAGTAAACGATGCACATTTACAAAAACTCCGTGATCGGGATGACGAGCAGCATTTGACTACCTCTCACGATAAAGCCTAGCTGCAGCTCTAGGATTGCAAATAAATTTCCGATAAATGAGGTGCATGTGGGCGTATTCCCGTACGGTATACATAGACATGGTGGCGCTACACAATTAATGAAACTGGCATAACTATCTGTCTTACTATCTCTACCTAAAATTTTCACTGTCACTCCGTCTAAGAAAAAAAGAATGAAATTTGTAGCAATGGGAACTAGAAGATTATCGCAGGATTTAGATTTTCCGATTTTCTTCTAAAGCCTATAATTTGAAAAGTACCCGACTTAGATTTTCCTTATATTTTTCTGATAACTATTATGACTGACCCTGTATGTTTCACGTGAAACCTTTTACATTTATCTCGCATCAAAATAGGCAGTGTGCCGGCCGTCTCATCACATATTATTTTGACAGATGCATATCTATTTTCATCATAGCATCAGTTTCAGACAAAAAATACCATATCGTGTTTGCGCCTGGAGACAAACATATCACAGCTGTGATGATATAAGAGAGACTTAATAGATGTGTTTACATGTACTGCACATCAACGGGAATGTACGTGATGCATTTTAAATTACGACGATGACATTGCGAGTTGTTAATAGTATCTGGGTAGTTAGGTTGCTGAAAAATAACGTACTTACGAGTGGCAATGCATCAAATGTTTCATACAATATTAGTAAACATATCTTCTAACTTAAGGGGAGCGCTTTAATACAGTATATAAATATATATATATATATATACGAGTATAAAAAAAGAATGCTGGTCAAGATATAATCCTTAGTTTTGTTATTAGAGATTGTGCTAGAGTTCTTGCAGTGCCCCTTACTTTAATCTATAATGCTATACTTCCCGGAGTCGTGGAAAGTTGCTGTCCGGTTTTTGAATCAGGTCATCACTCTTCAGTAGAAAACTATAGAGTTATATCAATTTTGTGCAATTTTTCTAAGGGATTTGAAATGCTACTATACGACCAAATGCTTGCTCTAATTACACCCTTTATATCAAAATCCTTCTCAGACTTAGCCGTCCTAAAGCAACAGATAGCTGATGCACTTGATAAAAAGGAACAGGTTGATGTAATTTACACCGAATTTTCTAAAGCATTTGTTAAGGGTGATCATTCACTGAAGGCATCAAACGTAGGTTTTAATGATCGGTTGCCCTGTTGGACTCATATCTAAAAGGTCGGTGGAATTATATGAGCTATAATGGATTCAAATGATATAGGTATTTAAGCAAATCAGGGATTCCCCAAGGTTCAAACTTGGGTCCCTTGCTATTTTTTGTTTTAGTAAATGACTTAGCTTCAATCCTTTCATGTAGTATTTTATTGTTTGCGGACGACTTCAAAATGTTCTGCACTATAAGAGGTATGGCTGACTGTCAATTCTTACAAAATCAACTCCGGATTGTAGAAACATGGTGTGAAAGCAATAAATTATATAAGAATGCTGGAAAATGTAAAGTTTGCTCCTATACTTTGGATCGCTCGGGAATAACTTGTGATTACTTAATTAACGACACAATTATTCAGCGTGAACCAGCATTTAAAGATTTGCTAGCCACATTGAATAAGTATTCAACGCAACAATTATTAGGTTTTGTGATAGGAATAGCAGATTATTTAACAACATCCAAATAAGTAAAACTTAGTGAGGCAAAATCTTGAATTCTGTTCAATCATCTCGTATCCTTATCACGACCTATAAATTCAGAAATTAGAGAAGATGCAATAGCGTTTTCTAAAATATTTGTCATTTAGAACTGATGGGAGCTATCCTGATAGAGGTTATGATCATAATATGCTTCAGGCTCGATTTTCTTTGTACTCTTTATATCAATGCAGAATAACCACCAGAGTAATGTACCTCTTTAAAATATTAGATAACCATGTTGATTGTGTCGATTCAATCTCACTTGTAAGTTCGTATGTTCCACAAGAAGATACACGACGAAGTGTTCCGTTTTATAACAGGACTAGAGCTAGTGTATTTGCCAATTCTCCTGTCAATGTAATATGTATTAGCTTTGAACTGTACTTTTCACATTGTGACATTAATCACATCACGTTGAACCAACTGATAAATGCGTTCAATCAACAAATCGGCATCACTAATATGTTGTCTTCATTTGGGATATGGTACCATAAGTGTTGACATTTTTGGTTTGCTGTTTTGCTATACTTACATTTTTTGTGAATGTAGTTTCTTTTTCACGTTATTTGTATTTAATCTGAAGTGATATAGTAATATTGTCCTATAGTTGGATTTTTGATCTATTGGGCAATAAATTATTTATTTATGTTACCACGAGCATCACCATCCATACAACGAGCTACTTCTAACGCTCTACAGTACTACACCCGTCACCCAGTTTAACTTTTTAGGACCTATCCCTTTAGATAGGCTACTGAGACGACTTGTAGATTCAAAATGAGTGCATGCCAAGTTATGCCCTTTTTGGTATCATGATTCTTCAATTAGGCGTATAGTTTCACATATTGGGAAAAAGGCTGCTTACAAATTTCAATATGCATATAGTTTTATAACGCATAACGAATGATGCATATACATCGAAATTTCAAGTATTGTACTTTAGCTAATTGTATTAAAAAAAGAAACAAAAAATCTGATGAAGATGTACTTATTGTTTTCTCTTTATTATTGAAATTATGTCTTTATTTTTTTGTTTTCCATTGTTTTACTTTATTGTTGTATGTTGTATCTTTTTTATAATATTTTATTTAAAAATATTTTTATTGTTAAGCCTATTTATTGTATATTTTTCTATCT